ACTGGTGAAGAACTTGGGTTAAGTACAATGGTTCTCAACCAGAAGCTCCCAGAAAGTCTGCAGGGGTGTTTGGGTTGCCATTCTGACAGCAGAAGCAACCCTGGCATATAGCAGGTGGCAGCCAGGGATATTAAACAGCCTGCAATGTGCCAGACAAACCCAGAGAATTATCCAGCCCAAAATGCTACCACTATTGGGAGATGCTGACTGAGGATAAATGGACACAGCCAAACAGTTAATAGTGACTTTAATGTATTAGTCAATTCAAGAACAAATCCAGGAAATCACCAAGGACCACCCAAAAGGAAATCAAATGTAAAAGTGTATCAAATTCTCATGCTATAGTAATCTACGCTGTCTTCTCAAAATGACAATGACAAAAGTAAAAGATGACATAATTCCAAACACATTACTCTGCTACCTCCATCAAGTATTTTTTTTTCCATTTCTGCCTTGAAATTGCCTCAGTGCATTATTTGTAAAACTTTATCATCATCTTTAGTTACTCCAAGATGTTATACGAGAGTTATCAAGTACTTCAGTTCCCATTCCACTACCTGTTTTAGATCCACTTTACTACCTATAGGGATAGCTGCATCTGAAGTTTCACTTATTCTTTTATCCATGACACTACTGCCCCATTAATCATCCTAAAAATCATATTGTCCTCCTGTCAGCATCTCCTGACACAACTACAATTATTCCTCACTGAATAACGCTCAGATAACGCAGGTTAACATTCAAGCTTCTCCACCAACTGGCTCCTTATTTCTCCCAACTCAATTAAGATCACTATTCCTAGGAGTCTCCTGAGTATTCCTCTAAATTACCATAATTCCCTTTTCTCTGTTTTGCCCATACTGTTTGCCTAGAATAATTTTCCCACTCCTTCTTCTCTGCCATTCAGAAGTCTTATCTACTGATGTGTAGAAATGTCATCAAATGCAATGAATTTACCTGTAATCTGACTTTGTGCAATGTCAGTATACCCCTAAATAATTCTTTAATTTCAATTATGTCTGTCTAGTTCTAGTCCTTTAGTTAGGACTGGAAATTTTTTGAAGGTAAAAATAGCATTTTCGTTTCTTTTGAATACTCACATAGAACAAGTAGTATAGCTACTTGGAATCACAGAATTGTTTCTTGACGAAATCATCTAATATAGTACCTTCATTTTAAAAGTAAAAAAAAAAAAAAAAAAACAAAGTAATTCAAGGACACACAATTTTTAGTGGCAAGTCAAAGAACCAGAATTCAGGACATAATTTATAATCTAATGTTAACACTTAATAAGTGCTTGTTAACTGAACTCCAAGGTACAAAATCATTTTGTAAATCTGCAATGAGCAACGTTACACTGCAATTTAAAAGATGGTCTGTGCCTTATCAAAGTAGAGACTGACAATTATACTGTATTTTCCACAGGTCAAGAAGACAAAAATTGAGGGTATCTGATAAGAATTTTGATAATAAAAACTCAAATATCTACAAAAATTCAGTAAATTTGAAATTCTATTCTTCTTAGTCTTTAAAATATTCATACAAAAAATGACCTCAAAATACCTTTTAGCCCCTGGTTAAAACAGAGTATGAAGCAATTCAAAATTATACCAGTGAATCAGGAGTCTAGATAAGGACAACAGCAGCATGACTAGAAATGCCTTCATTCTTCAGTTAGAACCCTTTTTCCCCCTTTCTCTTATCCATATGGGAACAGATAATTATTTTGTCCCAGTTTAGTTTTTTAATTTTTTCAATTACAGTTGCCGTACAATATTATATTAGTTTCACGTGTACCACATAGTGGTTAGACAGTTATGTAACTCACGAAGTGATCACCCCGATAAGATCACCCATCTGACACCATACATAGTTACTACAATGTTACTGAATATATTGTCTCTTAATCCAATAGTTCTGATACCTAGATTACTCATAAGAATCAAACTGTACCTATTTTTACATGGCAAAAAGAGGAGAAATTAAGACAAATCACATCACTACTATATGACTTGTTATATAAAATATGCTTTCCTGTTTCCTATCAGTAAGCGCATTTCAACCTCATATTCTCTCCAGAAGCCAACATAAAGCATGTTTACAAAGATATCGTCAGTCACTGGCTATACAATTAATGCAGTAAATACATTAAATTGATCTTGTCTCATTATTAGTTAGATATTATTTAAGGATTCAGATTTTCACTAATTCTTGTCTACAAATAAGAGATATCAGATGTAACTCTTCATCTAGATTTTTATTTTTAACCTCAAAGCAGATTAATATAGTTTAGTCCTCTAACATTTAGGAAGACCTATTAGTCAAATCAGATAGGTATTTCGAATTCCAATAGCCCAATTGTACTTCTAAATACATCTCCTACTCTCTGCTTCACAATTAAAGAAAAACTATCTAGAAGGATATTTCTGCTCTAAAGACATCTTTTAAAACAAATGTATTACAGGCTAGCAGAGTCTGTTATGAAAAGAAACTAACTGCAAGAACAAAAAATAGAAAAGAGCAGGGCAACAGAATTGACTTGTAAAAAGTCTGCATGTGATATCAATATGAAGCTGTGAAATTAGAAACTATAAATTTTAATTATTTAGCCTTAAAAATAAAGAATAGACAAACCAATTTATATCTTAAAAAACATGTGGAAATTAGATAAAAAGGTCTTAGTCATTATAAATCAAAGCTATAATAAATAAAGCTCATAAGCTGATCTGCCAGTTAAACTTAACAAAAGAAAATAGGTAGTATTATTGGTAGGCAAACCAATTTATCACTCTGGAATGTTCATACAAATCTCAAAAAAAAAGGAAAGTAGAAATATATTTGGTAAACAGCTTTCCTGACTTCAATCTAAACATAGTAAAACAGGTTCTAAAAAAAAATTTAGAGTACAATTATAAAGCATAATTACATATTTACTTATACTCATTTACTATTTATTTAAAAATATGTATAAGCAAAGGTCATATACAAGTGATGATCTTGGACACTTGATCTTTGCTTTGATTTGGCAAGCAGCATTAGGCTTAACATTTTTATTCCTTCTTTTGTGTCGACTTGCTAATTACTAAAATGCATTAGGGTTTCTAAGGAAAATATTTTATAAAATCAGCCTTGCTAGTGGCACTCATTTATATTAAATTATAAAAGGGGCAGATTGGCTATTAAAATAAAAATGTTATTTACCATAAGAAAATTGAGACTATAATGGGAAAAATAGTAAAAATTCAACCCATTTAAAAGAAAATAAATCTAAAAATAAAAAAAGCAAAATAATCTAAAAAGAACTAATTTAATTCAACTTTTCTTTTTTTTTTTTTTTTTTTTTTTTTTAGCGCAATGATGTTATTCTTTTGTTGGGAACAAAAAGTCTGCTTTCAGTTCCAAACAGTTCATCTAGATCCAACAATGCTCACTACTCGTCACTACACAGAGTTTTGCTGAACACTTAGTACCCCCACTGGCAGAAATTAACTTTATTCCTGTCTTCATAGGACTGAAATAGGAACCCTAAACTAGAAGGTATTGATCATTGGGTTTAGGAATAAAAATATCTAAACAATTGAAGCCAAAAATATTCTCGTCTCAACTATCTAGATACTTGGGCAAAAGCCATTTAGACAAACAGTTCAGAAATTCACAGACTCAGATCGAGGCTGGTCAGATTTTACCATTTTAACAGGTATGAGTGTACTACTGGTATTTACTATGAATGACAGGCTTAGTAACACAGTCAATGGCCTATCTGAAAACACTTATCATTTTGAAGATTGCACACTAATATCAAATGAAACAAGGCATATCCTGAAATCATATATAGTACTTCTTTGAATGAAGATTTTTAAAAATTGTAAGAAAAAAAACAAGGCAAATGTTTTACTCAAAAGCCAAGTTCCCCTCCCCCTTACCTGGAGCCAAATAAATATAAAATGTGAGTGGTAAAGTCTCCCCTTGGTTTTTTTTTTTAACAATAGTAATGTCTATTGCCATCATCTGGTGATTTTTTTTTTCTATTTATTACCAACACATTACTTCAATAATATAGGAACAGATATTCTACAAATGACTGAAGCATTTTCTTTTAAAAATCTTATGTTTTAGTTTAAAATTAAGGGTATTTATGTTAAGATGGTTAAATGTCACAGTAAAAGCAAACAGAATTTTAAGGTAAATAGCTTAAAAGAGGAAATGAGAAATATTCTCTGTGTTCAGACTAAAAAAATTATCTTGATGACTGAGTTGGTATTTGGAAAATGTTTTGACAAAATTTCTATAGTGCACGCATAACTAGGAAAAATAATTCTCTGCACTAATACTTCACAGTACAGCTAACCTAACAGTTTTTATATATACATAATAACAAATGCAGGCTACAAAAGGGAAAACATCAAGAATACATTTATCCATTTGCATTATGCTATGAAAATACTCTAATCTTCTAAAAACAGTAATCTTTCATAAGTAGTTATATAAAATTAAGCCACTTGTCTTTTAATGATTTTTCTAGATGGAAAAGTCAGACAGCCAAATTCAAATTCAACCTCTAATTCATTAGAATAATAAATAGGTCATAAGTTCAACATCAATGATGCACAACACTTTTAAAAAACAATTAAAATATGCCTGTGCAACTGTCTTTAAACCTCGTACCCAACATATTCCATTCAATAGACTACTAGCATAAGCAGATATATTTCCCTTAGAAACTTCTAGTTCCTTGCAAAGACAGTAGTTACTATAGCAAAACTTTAGAACTCTATGTGGATACGTGTTTAGCTACTAAAAACGGAGATCTGAGAAACATCACAGCAACATATAATCTGAATAAATGTATAATCAAGAGAAAAGCCAACACCACATGATTTCATATATCTACCTGATCATACATTTCTTTAGGATTAAACAAGAAGAGCAACTAATCAGCAACACAGATCTGGGAGAACATGGCAAATAGTTTTTAAAACAAAGATTAAATGAAAGGATACAGCCTTAAAGCACCAGTCTGAGTTCCCACTGCCAGGATCTTCTGTACAGGATCAAAGGCCAGGGCTGAGGGCTGATAGGGAAATCCATGGCGAACAGTCTAGGGATGGGCAAGTGACATCACACCAGCCAAGGCAGCAAACGATATTTAAAAACAGGAAAATCAATAAAAGCATTAGAATTTAGAACCAATTATAACTGATGCAAAATACATATACATGCACTTATTGCTTTTTTAAAAAAACTATGAAATCTATATTAACAAACAAAACTTACGTAGAACCTAACCACCAAAAAAAAAAAAAAAATCTATCCCAGTTTTACTCTTTAATTTTTGCTTTTCTGTAATACTAGTATTCTAATAAAGAAATGTTCTTATTAATATTCTATACTCTTATGTCTGAAAACAAATTACTGAAGTTCGCAGTAGTCAAAAATTCTGTAAACTCATGCTTTATTTCAAGTGTGATAAGTTCATCATTACTTTATTTGGATGTTAATGCAAGTACTTCTAAGGAAATGCTGCCATCTAACCTGGTCAAGGATTCAGTAAAGCAATTTTCAAACATCTACTGAGATAGATGTTTTGTAATTATAGCAGAATAAGTGCATTCTGTTATTTTGTAATTATAACAAAAGAAGTTATAATTACAACATTTTGTAATTATAACAGTAAGTACAGCATATATTTTTGCATTAAATCCTTAATAATTTTAGGGCATTAGGGCAAACAAGTGTAACTACACACTTTTAATAAACTCTAACATATGAACGCATGGTATTTATGAGAAAGGTAGGTATTAATACCAAGACAAGTTCGTATTTCTCACTGAGCAGCTGGTGAATTAATTCGCTGCATCATTCTTTCCGAATTAGACCGCTATGGCAATTGTGCCATTAACAGGCAAAAATCACAGTACTAACTTTTTAACCAAATATAATGATAAGAGGACTCTGTGATTTCATATTTTAAGCCTCCTACCACATCCTAAGGGAAAATTGATGAGGAAATATCTAGTTGAACAGGTTTGGCTTTTTGATAAACAATATTCATACACTGTTTCCAAGGGAAACTTCGAAGTTGGTGAATTACATGAAAAATGCTTTAATATAAAAGCTCTAAGGTTATTAAGAATACAAATTAAAGATCAGTATCACACGTTGGAAGCAACCTTGAATGATTGATGCATGTGAAAAGGGGAGGAGGAAAAAAAAATCAACGAAAAGGAGTAAGATGATGTCAATCTCCAAAATAACCCATCGAGCAAACGTTTGCTAGAGGAGGAGCGAGCCCTTTATTCGCGGTATGATTATTACTGGCGCTCGAGTCCCTCGTACTCTCCCGTAAAGCCCAGGCTGCCCCCTAAAATGACCCGGGTTTTCGCGGGCTGCGCGCTCCGTTCACCTTGCAGAGCTGAAAGTGCTCGGACTGGAGCGTTTCCTGGATCTCCGGCTCGCGGTTCCCAGACGGGTGCTGCTGCGGCTGCTGCTGCTGCGAGGCCGAGGACGAGCCCGCGGTCAGGCCGTCCAGCACCTTCCTGATGTTGAATTTCCTCATGGTCTCGGCGGGGCTCCCCCGCAGCCCGGGAGGGGCGGCAAGGGGTGTCCCCGGGCTGGGAGCACGAGCCCGGGGCGAGGGCAGCTTCCACCGAGGACTCGGAGGAGTGGCAGAGAGTGGGAGCGCGAGGGTGGGGAAGGAGGCAGCCGGGGCGAAGCAAAAGATAATCCGAACAGGAAATGCCGCGACGACGAAAGGGCAGCGGCCACCAGAACCCCGCGCGGCGACC